TATGTATATTTAAGACCTATTATCATCTACCTATTATGTACTATTTGTTTTAAAAAATATTATATATTGCTATTAATGTGGGCGACGTCGTTATTTCTAAAAGGTTGCTGTGAAGATTAATAATTTGTAAAGAAGCTTACCTTATTTCTATATAGTATGTATACATACATACATACATACGTATGTATGTCGCATCAATCAAATTGTATTATATTGCACTTTGACACGCCAAGGACACGCGGGTCCTCGCGAACTCACACCACAACAAAACCGTTTCGTACCGACAACGCAGCTAGATTATAATTTACGATTATAGAATGATTTGTAATCTAAATATTTACACTTTTTCTTTCGCGTAGAATAAGCCTACCGTCAATCCGACGATCGCCAATAATCCAATTCAATAATCATATTAGACTCGGCAAATGTGTGCGAAGTGTGTATGTATCTACATATTTCTTCCTACTAGCCTTGAAAGTGTAACCACGCCATTAGAAATGTCAATAAATATGATCGGCTAGTAATTTTGGTAAACATCTTACATTTGGGGAAACTGTTGCAACATTAGTTATAAAATCAATTAGACACGCTGATTGTGTATGTATGTACATATGTATGTACATATCAATCAAATTGTATTATATTGCACTTTCACGCCCGAAGGACACGCGCGTCGCCGCGAACTAACACCACTACAAAACCGTTTCATAACGTAATCGCAGTTAGATTATACAAGTAATTTACGATTTTAGAATGATTTGAAATCGAAATATTTACACTTTCTTTCGCATAGAATAAGCCGACAGCCAATCCGACGATCGCCAATAATCTAATTCAATAATCATATTAGACCCGGCAAATGTGTGTTTAGTATGTATCTATTTCTTCCTATTTCCCTTTACCTAGTGTGTCCACACTATTAGAAAAATGAATAAATTTATTGTGTAACAAAATGTTAGGTAACCAAATTAAAGTTTGCGAAACTGTTGCAATATTAACTGCGAAATTAATTCAATACATTAATTTTGTTACACAACTTTTGTCGTATTATTGTTTTTTTCACTAATAGTTCCTATTGGCATTAGAATAATTGTCGCAACCCTAATGTTCACACTGTTAAAACAGTGCTGCCCATAAACGTAACACGCATTCGCATTGATCGCTCCTATTTCCTTTCATTTGGTAATTTTGAATGGTGACAAATATTCGATTCGATTTCTGCATTGCCAAGTAAAGTTGCATGTTCGTATCAGTTATTAAACAAAAAGAATACATATACATGTATATTGAAAGTGAACTGTGTGTTTAAAGTGCACACGACGTTACTTAGTGCTGCCCAGTCGAAACAGGTGATCTGTGTGTCCAATCAAAATTTTCGCGCGGTATTATGCAAATTAGAAAATTCGTGCATTGTGAAAATTCGAAACTTTTGCCCGATATTCCGTAGTGATTATATCAGTCCGGCGGAGGCAAAAACTCCCATCAACCTACGCAATTGCACATCCAATTTGTGATTTGATTAAGCGCAACGGCAAGGAGCGCGCCATAATAAAAGAGCGCGAACGCGGGCGCTCTACAAAATGCGAAATGATTTCATACAAACGATAACAACGAAGCAAGCGGGAGCGTCAAGGTAATTTCATATCGAAGTCGTGTGTTCGCTGCGCGCCATGCCTGAAGAGTATTAATTTTAAAGTCGAAAACGTGTTTGGCTAAGCGCTTCAAGTGCCCGTGGCGGTGACTTTAAGCCCAAATGCTGACAAGTAGATGTAGAACTTTGTTGGCAATTGCCATTGTTGTGTGTGGAGTGGGACCGACGTCGACCGAGGCATTATATCATAGCTTGGCGCTATATCCTGCATGACATGGGTGTCTTAAGTTTACTTCCGTCTATAAGTTACGTGCAAGATTGTGAGTTTAGCGCTCCTCTAATGGCCAACAAGCACAAGACACACAATATTTTACGGCTGGGTGCTTCCACTTGAAATACGATTCAATTTTCGCAATGAATGGGAATGCGGCACACATATGCATATTACCAACTATATAATCTTACTTACATACATATACTATACATATGTATGTATGTACTTAGTTTGTATGGACATAAAGGCAGTTATGGGGTCTGTTTATAGTGATGTCATACCGTTTATGGTTCATATTTCAGTTAGATGCTCATGACGTGATTTGTGTACTATTTGTTTTATTCCACCGCTATATTTTTATTGAAAAATCCCAAGCGCCGGCCCACTTTGTCTGTCCGTTTGTCTCTTTATCTGTCTGTCGTGCCATAAGAAAATTGAATTGTACGCTATTTGATTTTGATTTTTGTTTTGAGCAGTGCAATCACGTCTGACTGACTGACTGACTCACTCACTTACTTACTATGATGTAGTCGTTGCTTGTAACCGTTTCTAGTCGTGCCCAGAGGCGCCCCATAACGTAATTCACTTTTAATAGCACGGTTATTAGTTTTTATTATAATTGATTGATTGTTGTTATTAGCTAGATTGTGATCTTGAGCATTGAAATGGACAGAGCATGAGCTACAATATTTGTACCAACTTTTGCTCCATAGCTCAGCCACACAAATTAGAAATCAATTTAATGTCAGCTAAACGAGCAATTGGTTCCCAAACGAGTCAAAAACCAAAATTGGTAAAAGTTGCGTCGTCTGCCAAACTTAAAAAATCATAAAAAGCGAAGCGAGCGAGCGAGCAATAAAATTGCCCAAAAAAATTAAATTTCTTTGTGACTGTCATCAGACAAATTAACGCCCACACGGCCACAGCTGTGTCGCATCGTTGTTTTTTCGTTTATGCGACAGGGCCCGCCAGTGTCGTCTTCGGCAATAATCAGCTGTGACGGCGGCGGCGGCGGCGACGACAGCGTCAACGTCGACGCTTTCACTAAGCAGCGGCAGCAGTAGCCTCAGCGGTAGCAGCGCACCCGCCACATTAATAGTTCTGCTGCTCTTTACTCTGAGAAATGTTTGGAATATTTACGTAGCACGCTTTTTTTGTGCTTCTCTCAACCAGCGGCAGCGCTGGACGGGATCCACATAGCTCTGTCCAAATATGTGGCATGCTGGCATCTTGCTGTTGTTGTTGTTGTTAGTTCGTGCAACAACCATATTTCGCCACATCCACACATCCCTGTTGTCGTTTGCTGGCAACTCGTTGCTGGAGCAGAATGGAAAAACTAACGGATACCATTACCATAAACAGCCAATGCTGACCTTCATTGCAATCAAAGGAAATTTTCTATGTTCTATGCACAGCGACAACAGCAACAACAGCAACAACAACTGCAAAGCCAAACATGCGCATCAACACCAGCTTTTGAGCTTGTTGTTGTTTCTGCTTATCGATAGGTGCGCACGACACGCTGCCGTTTTGGCTACCTTTAACGTCTACCTGCCCCAACAGCTACCAACTGCCAATGCCAACAACCAAAATAAAAGAGTTTGCCACTGCGAAGCTCTATCGTCGTCTGAGTAGAGCAGGTTTCTGGCCAAGATGTCAACGACTACTAGTTTCATGAATGAGTTCCCAGCACTCGGCGTGTTTATCAGCAAATTAACAGGCGGACAAGGCTCTTTCGAATAGGCGCAACAATTTTAAAATTAGTAGAAGAATGAATGCAGTAATTGCTGAGAATTCTGCATCTCGCTTCAGCTTTATAACATAAGCAAATCTACATAAATAATTTCGTATTCAAAGTTACGATCATACGTAAAAGGCCTAATTTATTGAGATTTTAGCTGCACATCAAATAATTTAATTTCATTACACATTACAATTTATTTTTATACTCTGTACATGAAATGTACAAGAGTATATTAGGTTTGCGGGAAGTGAAAAAGGCAGAAGGTGGCGTGGCAGATCCCACAAAGTATATATATTCTTGATCAGCATGACGAGACGAATCGATCTAGCCCTGTCTGTGTGTCCATCTGTCCGTCCATATGAACACCTGGATCTCAGAGACTATAAGAGCTAAAGACACCAAATTTTGCACAAAGATGCCTTATTTGTGTACGCTATACAAGTTTGTTTTATTTTTTTCCCCACTTTCCCCCTATGGGGGTTTTTCTGTAACGCCGTTCGTATAATCGCCTATATCTCGGAGACTATAAAACCTAGGGATATCAAATTTAAAGTCCAAGATGCCTTATGTGAATACGCAGAAAGTGTGTTTTTTGGAATTTCCCTCCATCCTCCCTCTCCCACGCAAATCGCGATTTTCTTGGAATTTCGAACTAAAATTTTGCAAATACCTCAGTTAGTTATTATTTGTCCGTATGCCAAGTTTCACTATGATAGACCGATTTAACAAGAAGTTATAGCCATAAATATATTTGCTGCTGCAGCGCTGCTCAAGCGCTGCCCGCGGCTGTTGTTGATGTTGCTGTTTGGTTGACTGCTAACATGTTTACACAGACATGAATAGATGCGCATAGGCATTCATACACTCACACGCAATTGCTATGTAAATGTGCACGCTTTCGAATACCGAAATACCTTATATCCTGTACCCAAAGTGTACAAGGGTATATTAGTTTTGTGCGAGTGCACATGGAACACATAGAAGGAGGCTTGGTAGACCCCACAAAGTATATATATTCTTGATCAGCATGATAAGCCGAATCGATATAGCGATGTCCGTCTGTCTGTCTGTATGAACGCAAGGATCTCCGAAAGTATAAGAGCTAGAATAACCAAACTTAGTATACAGATTCTCCTGAGACCGAGAAAGGACGAGTTTGTTAATTTTCTCTGATCCACACATTAGTCACATTAGGTTAGTGATTATATAACCGTATACCAAGTTTCATTATGATAGAGTGATCGGAAAAAAAGTTATAGCCATATAACCAGGCCCAATGCACACATACATACATATGTACAAGTACACAAACACGCATAGGGCACGATTCTGATGTAAATGTATGTACATATGCATGCATGGAATATTTTATATTTAATTTAGTTAATTAATTAAATTATTTTAGGTAACTAATTTAATTAATTAATTTAATTACTTTTTTGTGGGGTGGTACAGGGTATTTAAGAGTTGAGCCTGCTCGACTTTAGCATTCCTTTCTTGTTAGTCTCTGGATTATAGGTCCACATAGGACCAGAGGCAACACATAACCTGCCATGAGCTACGGGCGCTCTACAAAATACTGTTGAAACCAAAAAATTAGATGTTTTGTCAACTTTCTGTATTAGCTACTTACAGTCAGTCCTTCAAGCCAATCGAAATGCCAAGCAATTCATACTTCATGTCTTCTTCAATGTTTTAATAACAATAACAATATCATACTTTGCCATATCTTGCCATACGGCAAGACTTGCTATAAATTACAATTTTACGGTTCTTTTCATAAAAGCAAAACATCAATTTTCAACGCCACAAAAAAAGAAGTTACGAAGTTATTCCATGCGCTTAACAAATTCGTTTTCGAATATAACTCAAAATAGTCATATTGGAAAAAAATGTTTTTAAGTGCAACTTTATTAAATAGATCTTTACAGTTTTGTTATAAATGATTACTGTATGTATGAAGATAGCGCAACCTCTAAGTTTTGCACTTTTTTAAACATGCATCCTCCGAACGAAAGCGATTGTCGTTACCACCACATCCTCCATATTCCCAGTAGTGGCATTTATTCATCGTTGAATCATAAGACCACGTAGGATTACTCACTTTACAAACAGAATTACCAAAACCTTGCTGCCCTAACGGCAATCCACAAATTGCTATGCAATTTCAAGCATAAGATGTTTTATCAACATATGTATGTACTATAAAAACTACTTACGGTCTTTCAGGCCAAGTGAAAAGCCCAGCATGGAAGATAAAATACAGATGACAGTGGCGTACCTCATTCCTTCCTGAATCTGAATAACTATAGTCTTCAACTATAGCTCGACTATAAGTCTTGCTATAAATTGCAATTTTACGTTTCTTTTGATTAAAGCATAAAATGTATTTTGCACGGTATTGCCTACCGTGCTATAATTTTCCTTGAATTTTAAAATTGAAGTTATATGAGTACTGTAATATTTAGGGTCCAAAAATACGAGTACACACCTAAATAATTACACCTGAAATTCGAAAGTAGTTTGCAATATTGCTGCACTTTAAAATTGTCGATAGCCATTTAATTCAATTTATTTCTACAATTTCTTCCAAAATTATGTGATTAATATGCGAAGATATTTCCACGACTAAGTCTTGCACTTTTTTAAGCATGCAGCCTCCGTCAAAAACTGATTAAAAGTGCCATCACAAAGTGCTCTGATCCAGGAGGTGCACTTTTTAGTCTTTGGATCATAAGACCACATAGGAGCAGAAGCAACACAGTACGCGCCCTGTCCTACGGCCGGACTACAAAATGCTATTGAAACCAAAAAATTAAATTTTTTGTCAACATTCTGTAATAGCTAGCCACTTACGGTCCTTCAAGCCAATCGAAACGCTAAGCAGCGAAAATAAAATACAGATTCCAAAAAAGTAGTACATTTCTTATATGTACGGTCAGACTGAGCTCTTGCTATAAGTTAAAATTTTACGTTTCTTTTACCAAGTTTTTCCTTGCGATTAGCAAATTAGTTTTAGAATATAACTCAAAACAATTACGTAAGAAAAAATGATAGTTTGAAAAATTGCAGTAGCTTTTATGTTCATAACAAATGCAACTTAATTAAATCGATTTCTATAGTTTTGTTATAAATGATTGCTATGTGCATAGTTAGTTCATCTTCTAAGTTTTGCATTTTTTAAACATGCCTCCTCCGAAACAAATTAATTGTGTCACTTCAAAGTAAAAAACCTATCAGGGAAAATAAAATACAGATTACACCTCATTTGATGTTAGATACAACTTTAATCAGTTTGACCTGCAGCTTTATTAAGCCTACTAATGGCTAACATTGATCATTCCACTTCTAAATCAGGTACTTCTATGCGTCTTCCGATTCAAACCAATTGGCACTGCCACCTAAGCTTGTATGGACCTAGATCTTCAAAATCTCTGCTTCCCTGGCTTTGACAAAACGCTGTTAAAATTTTAAAAAATTGACGTCTTGTTAACCTTCTACAATATCCGAAAGTTGTTGATTGGTTCCGGAAAAAAATGCATTTTTTATTTTAAAAATATTTCAAATACAATTCATCTTAAAAAGTACCTGGGGCTTTATTACCAACCCTTATCTACGAGGTATATTTATTTTATATGAGTACGTTCTCCCAAATCTTAGTATTCTGGTACCCAAAAAAGCTGCACTAGGTTAGTGGCATACCCCATGTATAGGTATATAGGTATATATGAGGCGAAGCGATCTTCCATCCTTCCGGAAAATAAGCTGCTGAGTCTAAGCGAAAGTGTACCGGATTTTTTTTGCAGTGATTGTAAATATATTTTCAGCAAGCCCCTTTAAGTTTTGCCCGTGGCTGAGTATTTACTTTACACAAAACATTTGCAGAGTCCCGAGAAAATTTACATCAAAGTGGTGGAGCTCGAACCCAAAATCACAGAACTAGGCGCCAATCTTGATGAGTCGTTGCGCATGCAAAGAGATCACGATGAGACGCTGCGCAATCTACAGGTGTGTATGAAACATTCAAATATTCACACTATATCTCTACTTAATGAGGTGTTTTTATTTTGATTAGAACCTGCCCGGTCCCATGGACGAATTTGTACTGAAGGCCGACAAACTGTTGGCCAGTAAACGCATCAGTTCCGAACTAGTCAACGCCATGGCCGACACACTGAACATCATCTGGCAGGACATACTAAATCTTCTGCAGGATCGCCAGCATTTACTGCTGTTGTGCACACAATTTCACGACAAGATGACACAGTGTTTCCGTCGCATGGACCAGCTGGAGGTGGCCTGCAGCGACACCATGCTGCCCATTGAGGTGGGCGGCGTGCAAGAGTTCCTCAACAAGTTCAAGCAGTTGCGCATCGATATGCTAACCGGCGTAATGGCGGCTCTGAAGGACGGCAATGAGTTGCTCGCGCAGCTGCAGGAGCTGGAGAATCTGGAAACGCTGGACACACGACCGGAGCACATCAAACGCGATGCCACACGTGCTGTTCATCAGGTGCAGCAATGGTTAGAGGCATTGCATGATCGTCGCAATGCTTTGGAGCTGGCCTGGCAGACACGCAAAACCCAATTGGAGCAATGTCTGGCATTGGCGTTGCTGGGACGAGAACTAATAGAGCTAGAGGAGGCGCTCAGAATACAACGCAACGAGGTTAGCAACATGTTCAGTCTGGGCGAATGCGAGCACTCGGCAAAGAGCACGTTGCTGAATTATCGGGAATGGAAACAGCAGGCGTTGCTGCTACGGGATCGTGCGCTGAAGATCACGCGAGCCAAGGAAAAGGTGCAGGCCGCTGGCACGTTTGCTGGGGATGAGGCATGCGCTCGTGCCTATGCTGTACTCAGTGCGTGTACGGAGCACTTGGATTTGATTGATCAACGCGAACACTGGCTACAACAATCACGTGAGTTCTTCGACAAAGCCGAGCACACATTGGCGGTCCTGGAGAAGCTGGAAGTGGAGTTGTCGAGCGTCAAATTACCGCCCAACACGCCCGAAAGTTTTGCCATGTACGCCAAGGTAGCACGCGATGTGCGCAACTTTACCGAAGAGCCGCTGCGTCTGGGCTATGGCATACTCGACGAGGTGGGACGCACCCAGCAGGAGACACAGGGCATCAAGCGTGTGCTGGATGAGCTCGAAAATCGCAAGGCCTATATTGAGGGCATATGTGCGCACAGCAATGCTGATCAGCAAAGGGTCCAGCAGGCACTTAGCGAGTTCCTCTCACAGCACAACGAACTGCTCGCCTGGCTGCGCGCCTCCGGGCAACTACAGCTCCAACAGATCGTCGATATGGGTCGCAATCTGCAGCAGAGCAAGCAGTTCTTGCTGCAGCATCACGAACTTATGCAGGATCTGGAGGTAAGCAGGACTTTCTTTCGCTAGATAAGGATATCACTAAATGGTTCTCCATATTTTAGATTAAGGGCGAGCTCATTAACTTGCTGTTGGAGTCGATTAAGGTGCACTTGGAATCGCTGAGTCCACAACAGCGTTACGATGTTGACTCCAAGGCTGAGGCGTTGCACAAACATTGGATCGAATTGAAGGATTTGGTGCTGAAACGTGTCGATTATGTTTCACTGCTCATTGAGTTCTTTGAGCAGGCCAATGAGCTCTCTAGTCAGCTGGACAATATGCAGCGCCAATTGCTGCAGACGCCCGATGAGCACAAACTACAGTTCCTGCAGGCCACCTGGTCCAATATTGGTAGCAGCTACAGCGAGCTCAAAGCACGTGGCCAGCGCTTCATCAATCTAAAAGTTGGTATCTAAGCGTAGCTGCAGCTTAAGTCTCTTAATTATCAAATAGTTTAGTTTTGTTGGGAATTCTTTAAAGCTATGCACGCACGCTTTGCTTGCTTCCACATTTGAATAACTAATCTAATCATATTTATGTATATAAATGTAGTGCCACAACATAATGCAGCTAAGCCTCGGTGCGAATTGCACAACAACTGCGGCAGTCAACTATGAAATTAGTTGCATTAATCAAAGCAGCAACTTATATTTTGTTTTTGGCCCACAAATTATAAACAATTTGATTGGCTTGTCGGTCATAAATATATATTTAATGTGACAGCAACATTTGCGGCTGCTGGGTTAAAAAATCTGCGCAACATACGAATTTCAAATTAGAAAATTCGCTTGGCTGCCTATGCTGTTGTTGTTATTTGCTGATGGGGCTGCTGCTGCTTTCAAGTCCATAAATAAAAACGGGCAATTTTCACTCCTATGCTATACATAGGCAAGTCTACGAATGCGCGCAACGGCCTGGACTGTTGAGAGTTTCTGGGGTCGGCCAGTTTCAGAGCGTGCCAGACCCTAGGAGCAGGCAGATGCGACGCTTTCTACACAATATTTCTAACATGTCGCCGTCAGTCAGACACTTGAAAACTTAACCGAAAAAGAGCAAACACAGAACTGAAAATAAAACTAAAAAGCCACAACAACTTTTTTCTTCTATCTTTGCGGCTGCTGCTGCTGATTCGGATTCTCTGGTGCTGCTATTTTTAACGGTTCGTCGTTGTTGCTACAGATTGTGGATCCATATCTCGAGACGAAATCCTCAACGCAGGCAGTGGAAGATATACTGAACGACTTCAGTAAGCGGCAGATCGACGTGACGAGCAGTTTGGAAAATTGGACAACAACTATAGCGGAGAAGCGCGAAGTAGAATATCTATTGGAGAAAGTCATGAGCGATAACGAGGAGGTGAGAGTCGTACTATTTTGATCAGACTATGAAATATTTTCAACAAGTGTCCTTTAAGAAAGCTCAAATGGCAATTCCCATTTCCTTTGACATTATCCATAAAAATATGAAATATCTTTTTCCATCTTTATTTTTCCAATATTTAATGAAATGTTCTTCAAAATAATTATAAATTGAAAATTCTCTCTAGAAATTATTTCATTATCCACACAAAGTATGAAATTATTTCGCCTTCTAAGAGCTATTGTCTATTATTGGAACTTATTTGCATTTCATAGTCTGATCAGAGCTCATACTTGCATAAATAAAAAGCTTAACATGTTTTTATTACGAATTGTTTTCAGACTGTGGCCAAGACCACTCAAGTGGACACACAGCTTTATCCGGTCTTCAGCTCGCCTAGTGTGGATGCCAAACAATTGTTGACCATCACACGAGACAAGCTGTCACACGTCACACAGGATATAGAACGGGCTCAGGATGAAATACAACAACGTATTCAAACCACACTGAGCATACAGACCAAGGATCAGCAGTCGCTGGCCAAGATCGAGCAGGTCATTAACAATTTGCGCATGCTGAAGGCAAAACTCGATGGCATCAAGTACGACTATCGCACTCTCATCGAGAGCGTACTGCAATTTCTGGAGAATATTGTGCAGTTGCGTCGTGAGATCGATGCCTATTTTGCACAGCAGCAGCAGCAACCGGCTAGTTCGGGTGTGGAGCGCACAATAGCCGAGCATGAGAAATTCCGCGATCAGTGCATGGATAAATTTAGATCGTTAATCACACAATCCGAGCTGCTGATCGATCGTGTGCGCGTACTGGAGCCGCCGGGTGCACGAGAAATCGATACGGATCGCATATTGAAACTCTTGGAGAATCTGCGCATTCACTTCGAATCGAATAACAGCACCAGAATGTCGACGCTGGAGCGCCTCGAAAAGATCGAGCTGTTCCGCAGCGATCTGGACGATATTAATCGTAGTCTGGATAGTGTTAGCAAGCAGCTTTACGAGATCAATGGACAGAGCGTCGATAGTTTGGCCGCTGCCAAGACAACGTCGCTGGCATTCGAGTATTTTGAACGTACCATAGAGGTGAGTGAACCTTCAGGCAACTCGGCAAAAAACACAGACAGGTGTAGTTGTGTAGTAAACATAGCGTACAAGTAGATGGGCACACAGACACTAGCACGCATTCACGGCACGCTCTGTATGCCAATTGAATGAATGAATACGAAATTCTAATTAATTTTTTAGTGTTCAATGCCGAAATTTCTAAAGTCGACGCGTCATCAGCGCCGTTGGGGACAAACAGCGCACTCAGTCGAGGTACAAAATTGCCCCAAATTTCGTTATTTCGTGATTTCATGATTTCATGATTTCGTGTCTTGCAATATGAAAAATCCTTGTCTTCATGCATCCACCCTTGCGACTGGTGGGTGGTCACATCATCATGCATTCTCATGCCTTGTGGCACATTCATCAAATTTCGAATATATTCAAATAGCTGCGTGCCGCCTGCTTGTCGCTGTCAGCGCGCATATGAGCAGAATAGAACAGTATAGACTGAATAGTACAGAATAGACAGCGGCAGCTGTCGTTAGTTTGTAATTAAAAACTTGAGAAATTCATTTTGTGTGCGGTACGAGTAACATATACAGCATGCTGCACACTGCCAAAGATACAGTCACAGATTGCCACAGTCCGTACAGATACAGATACAGCTACAGATACATCTACAGCTAAAGATACAGATTTGTCTTATTATACTCTTGCAACTGAACATTTTACCAGGCATTTACAAATATAAATAAAAAGAGAAACAACCGAAACCCCATGAAAAGCAAAGCCAATTCTAAAAAGCGTTTTCTTTTGTTTTTAGAGTTTATAAAACAGATTATTGTACGATCAATCTAAGAGAAAATATTTCATTTTCAAACTCACGATGCATTCAAAAAGATTAATTTTTAAAGAACGAAGCGAATGAAATTCAAATATTCCTATTATTTACGCGTCAGGGGACAATTTTTCACGAGCCCATCTACTTATTTGAAGTGAAACTTCTTATATAGTATATTACTAATGCAAGTGTAGCAATTGATTAGTATTTGAAAAGGATGTTTAAGATTTTTTTATGCTATACATAAATAAATAATAGCACCAATGTTCATGTACATACAAGTATAATATTAATAATACAGATATATTCAAAAAAAAATTTCTTCCTTCCCTACTTTCCCATTATAGAATCAATATTGAACACAGTTAATGCATTTTACAAAATCCCCAGTGTATAAAAAGTTCGGCGATTCGCAGCTACAAGTTTTCTTCTCACATGGTCTTTTTAATGCACTTCCACAATTCTCATGAATTTGGTGCGCACATTTGCTGTTATAAATTGCTTTTGACGCTTCACTTCGAACATGAACGCTGTGTATGAGTTTTGATTTTTTATGGATTTCACTTGACGCGCGCTCTAGACACATAAGTACCCTTATGCGTACATATATCTATGCCTATATACATGGGTCTTTATACATATATATGTATATATCTGTTGACTTCTTAAGTTGCTTTATGGGCTGCACTTGCTGCGTGTTTATTAGCGAAAATGTGTTTATGCTTAATGGGCTCATTTTTGAGGCAGGAGAGAGTAGATATACTATTTGGTAGTTGCATGTCTTTTTATCATATCTCAAGCTAATTGCTGACCTTACCCCCTTTCCCAACAGTTGCTCGAGAAACGTATTGAGAAATTCACAGAGTCCACAAGTCAACAGCTGCTAATTAGTAATCCCGAAAGCGAATCCTACGTAAAAGATGAGCTGCGCAAGCTCAACGACAAATGGCAAAGCTTCAAGGACCAAGTGAAGCAAAAACGAAAGAGCCTCAATCAGGCAACCGAGTTCTTCGAAATGGTAGAAAAGGTAAGAGGCCATCTATCCAAATTCTAATGAGCATTATTTTTAATCCTTGTCGCACTTGCAGATTGATGCCGAATACCGCGAGATAAGTTACTTCTACAACAGCGTGTCCGGCAAGGTTCCCTATCTACGCGATCCGGTTGAAGCGTCCAATTTAGTCAACGATATTGAAAAATATGTGGCCAATCGCGAAGGACCACTTCGTGCCAAACTAGACAATGCATCGCACTGCGCTCACGACATGAACAAAGTCTCCTCTCTCTACAACGAAGTCATGACCATTTTCCAATCCTTCATCAAGCTCAAGTCGGATATCAATATTGTGCAGGATCGTCTCAAGAACGAAGAACGACAGCGTGAGCAGCGTGAACGTGAAGCGCGTGAGCAGGCAGAGCGTGAGCAATCGTTGCGTGAGGCGGAAGCTAGAGAGCGGGCAGCTCGCGAAGAACAGGCACGGTTGGAGTCTCAACGCCAACAGGCGGCCATTGAGCAGGCTCAGCGCGAACTGGCTGCTCGTGAGCTCTCACTGCGTGAGAAAGCTGTGCGCGAGGAGGAGGCACGACTTAACGCACTGCGAGAAGAAGAGATGCGTATACAAACTTTGCGTGAGCTTGCCAAAAGGGAAGAGGAGTCGCGTCTTCAGGCTATACGCGACCAAGCCAAGCGTGAGGAGGAAGCACGACTTCAGGCACTCCGCGAACAGACGCAACGCGAGGAAATTGCACGCTTGCAAACGTTACGCGATCAGGTCGATCAGCAGCGCATTGTCACCGAAAACATACGCAAAGACATTCAGGTTAATCAGATCTTCACCGAGCTGCGCTACGCCTCTCCACTCTTTGTGCGTCCGCTCAAGGATGCAGTCACGCGTGAGGGCGTTCAGTTTGTTTTCGAATGCGAAGTCACGGGCACGCCAGAGCCCAGTGTGGAGTGGTTCAAGGATGGCATCTCCATACAGAATAATGCCGACTATAGGACAACATTTGACAAAGGCATCTGCCGTCTGCTCATTGAGGAGACTTTTGCTGCAGACTCGGCTCGTTTCAGCTGCCGTGCCTCCAATCTGGTGGGAACTTGCGACACAAATGCCACGCTGGCTGTGCGCGAAAATGCCGCTGAGATACAACTCGTGCCACCGCGAATTGTGCGTTTCCTGCAGAGTGGCAAAGCAACCGAGGGCAGCTCCTTCCAATTCTCTTGCGTAGTCACTGGAAACCCACTACCAACCGTTCAGTGGTTCAAGAATGACAAATGCATCGATGATTCACCGGATTATGTCATCAGCTATAACAATGGCGAGGCTACATTGCGATTCGAGGAAGTCTTCCTCGAAGATGATGCTGTCTACACCTGTAGTGCCTCAAATCCGGCGGGCATTGAGCATTGCTCGGCCAGTTTGATTGTGGAACGTAAGTCACTAAACAATAATTCAAAATAATTATTAAAAATTATCAACTTTTGTGCTAAACTTTTTGCAATATTAATAATTTGTTGAGAACTACTTATTCATTCGATAAAGAGGCAATGCTTTACTTCAATTCTTAGCCCATAACCTTTTCGGTCTAAATCAATCACAGCTTATTTGTTGTCATATATAATAAGGTCGAGCTTTTAATTTAGACTTTGCCTAGGAATTATTACGAATAATAATAAAAGAATTATACATGCATGGACATTAATTTGTTCCTATTTAAGGTAAAAATATTATGTTATGTCGCACTAACATTAACATTATTTAGGGTAGAAAATATACTTCAGTATTGCTGCTGCTTTACGTCGCTTTTTTAATTAGCTACCGACTCTTGAATTAAATGCAGACTTTCTAAGTACGTTTAATATCTTCAGCAGTTTAGAAAAGCATTATTGTGATTCAGGCTATTAGCTTTTCGAGCTTGATCTCTTAAATTACATTATCAAATGAAATATTTGTCATAAGAGAGTATTGGCCATTCTTTAAAGCCGCCGATATCAACCGCTTGGGCTTCAAATCTCTCGATTTATAAATTAATTTAAGATTTATTTATTTATTTATTTCAGATTAATATTTGAATAGACTGATTAACTTTTTAATTTACACGTGCATCATGCCTTTCAATTTTGAGATTAAAGAATAATTTAACTATCGAGAACTAGAATTTTTTTTATAAATGATTATGAGAAATTATGTATCTTAAGGTAAAGGTATTATTTAAGTTGAAAAATTATATTCAGCAACTGTCCTAATATGTCTTATACATATATAAAACTTGTATTAATCGAATACAACTTTTTGTTTTTCCTTCAGCCCTGGAACCCACGGAGCTACCCAGTTTCAAGGTACCACTATCCAATGCTATGGCGCGTGTGGGCCAGAAAATCAAACTGGAAGCCATTGTGAGTGGCTTACCATGCCCCGACATCTATTGGCTGCACAATGGGAAGCCATACCAGCCACGCGAAGGCAAAGTAAGTAGTGGAATGTCAAGATTTATGAGCCAATAAAATGAATATGTATTTAATAACTTTTGAAAATCAAAAAAGTGACAGCCTACATCCGTTTATGCAAAATGTACGAATATGAATACGAAGTGAAATTTGCGATCTCCGGCTGAACTAGCGTTCAGCGCAAAACTTTTGCTGGAACAACAAAGTTGGCAAAACAAACACAAAAAAAAAATGTATGAGGTCTGTTAGTCTGAAATTTTTGGGGTTGGGTGGGCGTTGCATGTGTTCACAATATTTGTCGGTTCTTCTTCGGACAGTTCCATAGAAATTCTGGCATAATTTCTTTCATTCTCACTGACGTCAGAGTCAGAGTTTGTGGGTCCAATAGATTGAAGCTGCTTAGCATATTCAAGGCGAGTGTGTTTTATAAATACCCCACTGGCCATTGGCCACATTATGATGCAGGCATATGCAAAACTATAATTTACAGTTAGCTTATGCCACAATTTGCTAATGGCTGCAATTTTTTGGCAACGCATAGAGTGTGTGCCGGCCCCCCAACGCCTATATGAATGCGTGTGCCAGGCGCCAATTCATGCACTCCCCCCTCTGTATCGCTCTCTCTCTTTCTTTCTCTCTGCCCCCCTGGCATTAATAAACGAGCCAAAGGCGTTGCAAATTTAATTCACCACGCTGGTCGTGGGCGCAGCAATTTGTTTATTGTGGGCGCTATATTTCACCACATACATACATACATATACTATATAGTACACATAGCCACAAGTAAATGTGTGTGTGTGTGTGTTTTTTGGCATATTAAATTTGATTTCGTTTTATTTATTCATTAAAACGAAAAGAGAAATTTCAATTTGCAATATACGTGTATAAAGAAAATGATTTCATGCGCAACATTTAATTGCCTCGATGGCGTATACGTTATATTCTGCATTTGACAATTATAAAGATTCATGATCTCATTGGCAGGCGTTCCTTGTTACTGGCTGATTAAACAATTAAGTGTTTTGTATAGCGATTGAATACATCTTCCTGCAATTTTGTGGGCTTTTATTTTCAACACAAAAGTGTTTGAAATTTTCGAACACAAAAATGAAATGCGCGCCAAAATAAACAAAAAACTTTTTGTAAAATATAAGCAGCACAAACAGTTTGTGCAAACTAGAGCTGTGCGTGTACCTCACGATCACGCCGATTCACGAGCTACGTTTTGTTGTTAGATTTGGGAAGTTCATAAACTTCTTAAACTTTCAATTAACAATTTCCAAATTTGATTTTTCGGGTGTTGAGTTTTGCGCCTTTCTTTTACATAATGTTTTGTTTTTATCACTAAAACAATTCAACTTTCATACAAGTACTTTCATTCAAAAAACTAAGATTAGTTATACGTTAAGTACAAATATTTATATTTCCTCACACCACTTGATATTTTGTGTTTGTGATTGTACTCGTACTGTCTTCGTGAATTGTCCTACAGTCGTCTATAATCAAGATATTGCGATAATTCAAGATATTCGATATCTTGACAATAAACATTTTGCACTCACGTACCTTCAGGCACGCATCCACCCACAGCTCGAGTAGAAACGCACTACAGCGGCTACCTATTTGTCTGCCGGATATACTCACATCCGAGTGCAAACATAAATAAGTTGAAATCAGTGTAAAGAGAAAATTTAATTGCAAAAAACTAAATGAAAACAAAAAACTAGAGCAAATTAAAACACACACAAAAAAATTTGAAGAAATGAATACAAAAATAAAAAAAAAAACAAATTGAAATGAAAATTTGAGTGCGAGCACACCAACAACAACAAGAGAAGAATAATAGCAGCCGCAATACAACAACAAAGCAAATAATAACATTTAAACATTTATGCGATATATTCACCACATGGTGGCGTTCTTCTTTCTTTTAAACATGCCCATTTTCCATTTCCCATTTTCAGTACGAATTTGGCCGCGTAACGCTGATAATCCCGCAAGCTTATCCCAACGACGCCGGTGTCTACGTTTTGAGTGCAAAGAACTTGGCTGGCGAGGCGTACAGTACGTGCAACGTGATTGTGAAAGGACGCCTCCCGAACGAGACGTCCGATTCCGAAATGGCCTCCGACATCGAGCCCATCAAGCCGGCAGTGCATATGCCACTAAAAGATATATCCATATTCGAGGGTAAACCTGTGCGCCTGGACTGTGTGATTGTCGGCCAGCCGGAGCCAGAGGTGATTTGGTATCACAATGAGCGACCCGTCAAGGAATCGGCCGATGTGCAGTTACTGTTCCAAGGAGATCGCTGTTCGCTGATCATACAGGAGGTCTATCAGGAGGATGCGGGCAACTACAAGGTGGTTGCCATCAATTCGGCTGGCGAAACATCGAGCAGCTGTGAGCTCAAGGTCACGCCCCTCAACATAGCCGAGCCAGCAACGCGCGCCCAAGCGGAACGCCAGTCCCTGCCCAAGGACTCACAACCGAAATTCGAGCGCTTGCTGTCCGATGTGCTGGTCGATGAGGGAGAGCAGGTAGTGTTGGAGGTGCAGGCTAGTGGGGATCAGCCGCTTAGTGCGCAATGGTATCTGACGAATAAGGAGTTGCAGCTAAACGATCGCGTCATCACGCAGGCGGATGCGCCAGCGGGCATTTTCAAATTGATCCTCAACAATGTGAGTGCCAATGACAAGGGCGTGTATACGGTTAAGGTAACGAATCGTGCGGGCGACGCCAAATGCTTCTCGCATTTAATAGTCAAGTCGGTGAATGCGCCCGAGAATCGACGCAGCAGCCAATCCTCTGTGGAAATTGTAGAGCGTCACATGTGTCCCGAATTCAAGGAGCTGTTCAGTGACAAGCAGGCACATGTCGACGATGTTGTGAAGTTCGAGTGCATTGTCAAGGGCAAGCCTACGCCCAAGATACACTGGTATTTCAATGATCAGCCCGTGCATGGGCACAACTTCCTTGTCTCGACAAGCGGTGATCGCCAGGTGCTGACCATTCAGAAGCTTTGTCATGATGCCGTCGGCAAGATCAGCTGTGTGGCAGAGAATGAGGCAGGAAAGGCCACTTGTGTGGCCTTCCTCAATATCATAGGCAGCGGCATTCCTGCATCTAGCGACCTTCAAACTGTCACGCAAGAGCACAATACCGAGTCCTCGCGGGTTACCATCAAGAAGCAGACCTTTACGACCACCTCCACATCACAGGTCAACTCATATGAGGGCAATGCGCCCCAGACAGAGGTGCATCTCTCCAGCGCCCATATTGATCAATCCCTAAAGCAGTTGGGCCAACAGCGACCCGAAATTGTTGAGAGCCATCATTACCAGGAACTGCACAAGAGCAAAGAGATGTCCACACCCAATGTGCAGCAGAAATCCTTTGTTCTAGTACAGTCTGCCAATGGAGGGGCGGTTCCGGCTCTAACCAGCGGCCCCTCTGTTCCAAGTTCGCCTACGCGTCTGCGCAAGGAGATTGCGCCAAGATTTACGACACCCCTCACAGGAAAGATTGTCGATCAAGGCACAGATGTCAGCATGGAGGCCATTTACGATGGCTTTCCCTCTCCCGAAATCAAGGTGGAGAAGAATGGTTGCCAACTGTTCGATGATGCACACACCAAAATATCGAATAAATGCAACCGTGTGACCATCGAACTGAAGCAAGTGGGTGTGGCAGATGCTGGACGCTATGCCGTCACCGCCTCCAATTCTGTAGGACAATCGACCAGCAGTGCCGATCTTGTGGTGAAGAGTGAGTACAAGCATATATGTTTACATATCTACAGCATCTGTTTCCATCGTCCCTCCCCTCATCCTTTCATGCGCCCCACATCAATCAGTTTCTTTTCACATTAAAGTGTCATTGTGGGCCGCGATAATAGATCTTCAAACGTCAATGCCCAAAACGTTGTATATTGATGAGTTTCTAGTGGCGGCCACAACCACAACAGTCCGAATGACCACTGTGGGGCAAACTTGTTTTTTTGTGCACAAACTTCATATATGAAATATAGAAGAATATTGCCTTTCGAAAAATGTAATAATCATTTTTTAGCAGTCCCTCATAGTTCTTTATCTCTAATAGTTAGTTGATAATTGCTTATATGCATATTATATACAGGAATCAGCCTTAATATAGTTTGTAATCAACCTGATTTCCATATGTTTAATATAAGTTCACATGCCTAGTTTGATCTTCCCACTTTTTATTGCTCAAATGATCTCGATGCTCACACAGTCGAACGGAAATTGCATCACTTTCTTTCGTCTTTTATTGTTCGGGTATAAACTGCATATAGCTTTGATTTGTTAATTAATTACTGCATTCATCAGAGAGAGCATCATTTCTAAATGAAAATATCTTGTTAATCACGAAGTAGTAATTGATGGTCTCTATTAAAGTGACTAGACCTTTTCTGCTAGAACGAATTTCATTGAATTTTAAGTTATGAAATGAATATTTTCCCCATAGTTCATCATTGGTTCGTTTGACTTCTTGGCCGATGTGAACAAAAAGTATATTGTGTAAATAGTTTATAAATATTTGTGTGTGCTTTCAGCTTAAATGCTGGGGGTTGAGTTCGAATTTGGTGGATGTGGTTGTGGTTGCTGTTGATGCGATTATTATGTAAATTCCGCTGAATACAAATCCGTTTATTTACTCAACCCACCCGCAACACACCCCTCCACTCCAAGTACATTGTCGTCTTGTGTGGTTGGCTGCAATGTGTTTGAAATTATTTTTACTCTGTCTGTCTACACAAATTATTCATTATGGCTGATCATTTAGACGGCTGTTCAAGTAAATTATTTGCCAAATCCTCAACTGTTGCAATGACACACAAAAAACTAAAGCTAATATTTATTTTCATTTGATCAGAGATGTGGGCTTGGGTTGATGGTTATTTCATTTGTTGTGGTGCAAAATTATATGAACGTACTTGCAGACAACCAGACAATAAAGCGCATGCCATCCAAATGGGCGATCGACACTGACCTAAATAAAATGTTGTTTTACTTTGCACAGAGACTATTTTCCCACCAGTCTTTGGACGTCGCCTGCAGGCCCAGGTGAGCAAGAAGGGCGAAAAGTTGATCATGGAGGTGGAAGTGACGGGCTTGCCCGAACCAACAGTCACTTGGCTGAAAGATGATAAGCCATTGAAAGATGCTGGCATATCAGAACATCGCCTGCTGGCCATGGGAAATTCTTATAAACTGATCATAGAAAAAGGTGAGTTAGTTATGAAAAGAATGACACAATTTTTAACTTCAATAAGCAAATGGGTACTGGGTAATAACTTTGATCTTACCACTGGCGAAGCAGAAACGAAGCTCTTAAATTCAGCGTTATATGTCCTTTTTACTTCAACTGTTTTTGCAGCAAATGTCCACGAATTAACAATCAGTAGTTAGTCTCTAATATAATATTTTCGTATTGAAAAATTTTATGTCAAACTCTACACGTCAGATCTTACTTCATCAGATGTTTGCACGACGGATATCCATACTTAAAAAATCGTTACACATGTTTGATATATATTTAAGTATTGAAAGATTTGATGTATGAAAACTCTCTACACATCAGATACACGTCAGATATTAATGAGTCAGATGTCATTTCAAAACACAGAACTTATTTTCTGAGCTAGTTCTATGCCTACTTTTCACAGTTGTTTTTTTCCAATAACTGAACATTCTGATTAGCTTTCGGTATTTCTGTTATTCCTCTGCAGCTCAAACCACAGACTCTGGCAAGTATATGGTTAAGGCAACCAATGCTGGTGGCGAGGCAAAGAGCATTGCAGACTGCGCTATTTTGGAGCCCTCCCCGGAACGCATGCAGGAAGTGGTGAAGACCATTGTGTACGAAACGCCCGGTGAATTTAAAACTGAAGTAAGTGTGCATGTGCTGAATATTTAAATGACTATGCCTAGTACTTTAAATGCAATTGAAAATACTTATGTTGTATTTATTATTATTTACATATATATCCCACCTACATACTCGTAACTCTCAATTTATATTTCAATTTATACTCTTTCTATCTTTTCGATTGTTACATTTTGCATATTTATTTATATAATAAACAAATATTGTGAATTTTTTCTCTCATTATTTCGCCGTTGCTCGCAAAAACACACAAAATGTTTGCCCATTTCGGAATGCTATCTCGAAACAAACCAAACAAATCAAAACAAACTCGAATGCTTTGCTTCATTACCACGTGGGTTCTCTCTCTATGTTTGACACATAATAACAACGAACTCATTGAACCACAAACCAAACAAACAAATACATAAAACTCACATCATAGACAAACTTCAACAAAGAGCCCCCATCTTTCCAAACAAACCAAGCCGACGTAACCACTGCCAGCGATTTGCATGGCCTGTCCGAGTCGAAAGTAATTACTGAGCATCGTTGCACCACCGAGGCAACCATGCGTCTAGAGCATAAATCGACCTATCTAGATTTGCCAGAGCTGAGCGCAAGACCAAAAACCCCAATTACCACCACAAACAACAACAGCAACACCACTGCCACCCCGACCATAGCCACCGGTATGGATCAGACCGACACACAGACCACAACACAGAGCGCCACATATAAAACAGGTGCCACACAAACACCACCACAAGTGCCGCCCAAGCCCTGCACACCTGTTGTTTCGTCGCCTTTCTGTCAGAGCCTAGCGCCCATACAAATGCAACCACTGCAACAACAACCGCCGCAGATGCAATCATCCACATCTACGTCCACATCCCGATACGAGAGCAGCACCAGTGAGCGTAAATCATCATCATCATTTGAGTACTTCAAGAAAATCGACAGCGAACAGAGCAAGAACTTCGAAACTAGCACCAACAAACGACCAACCCCGCAGGCTATGAAACCGCTGGAGACTGTGGTGAAGCAACCGCAGGCCCACAGTTTGGCCGAGGAGTTGAGAAGCCTTAACATAATGCCGGGGCCGCCACCTGAATTCTGTTACGTGCCCAAGACGGAGAAGCAGGCACCGAAGCCACCGCTAATAAACGAGAAAATCAAAATACTGGAGGAAGTGCAGCCCAAAGACGTACCGCCACAGGGAGGAGTGCCTGTCTTCCCTCCACCATTGCAGAATGTGCATCATGAATCCTTCAGCAGCAAGGAAGTGCGTGTGGAGTACGGACAACCGATTGTGCGGCTGGCCGCTCAATTACCAAAACCAGCACAACAGAATACGCGTTCGCCCTCACCCAAGCCCTCGGCCGAGGGTGTGGCCATGTCCAAGCTTTGGACTCCCAGTGGTGTCAGTGGCTATGAAAGCTGCACCACCACCAGCGATGTTGAACACCATAAGAGTGAAAGCGAGTCAAAGCAAGAGTCCAGCAAGACCATAACATCAACAAGTATTACCAAATTGCCAACGCCGACACCCACCAAGGAATTAAACGCCCCATTTCTGGTGCAGCAGGTGGCAAAAACAATGGCGCCGGTCACCCGTGTGGTGAACATTGAGCTGGAGCCGGGCACTCCGCCCGAAATTTGCTACACACCGAAGCCCGAAGTGCGTCGTCATTCGCTGGTGGAGAGCATGGAGCAAAAACTCGAGCAGAATCTCATTCAGGGACCAAGTAAAGTGCTGCCGCATTCGGTGCCCACATTGACGCCGGTAACAGCACCGAAACTTAACACCAGCACCACCTACAGACCACCACCGCCTGTCCTGCCCAGCAAACTGGGTCGTGGCGATTACTATGAGAGCGACTATGAAAGCGATCGTTACAAGTATAGCGGTAGCGAGTCGGATGATGCCGGCCAGCGGAAACAGCAAGCCGCCACAGAGGTGTTCAAGTCCAGTGGCTATGCGGCCGACACGGAGGAGCATTCGAGTTATCGCAAATCCGAGTCCAGCTTTTATGAGAGCAAGTCATCATCTCAGCCACAGCCACAGGCACAGCCACAACCACCTCTTAAGCCCCTCTTGCCTGAGCCACCGGCACAGCTTTACTTTACGCAGCCACCACCACCACCACAACAACAACAACAATCTTCCTATAGTCAGGAGGCGAAGGTTCGATACTCTACTGCTACTCATGTCACTAGCTGTCTGTGTTGTTGTTGTCGTTGTCGTTGTTTTTGTTACCACCTATTATTCTAATATCATTTCAAATATATACATATATCCTTGTATACTTATGTGTGTAGCACTTGGCCCTTGGCAGCGGCGAGCAACAAATCTCTCCTGCATGCTGAATCGCCACATCTGCACCAAACGCCTCTGTCCCGTTGTTGCCGCTTCAGTTGTTTTTGTTGTTCTTCTTTTAAGTTATTGCACGACTAACGCGAATGCCCGCCATTAATGCCGAAACTCTCCCATAAAGCATAAAGCCATTACATAAGTCTAACACGTTTTGCACTTCCTATTTAAAAAAGGAAATAGGAATAAAACATTAATTATTGTTCCAATTTGTATGCCTAATTTTATGACGGAAGCTTTAATTATAGAGATAATGAACTGAAGTCTTAACTCCGTGGAATACGTTAACTGTTTGAACTCAAACGATGTGTTCATAATGGGTATAAGTACTTAGAAGTCAAAATGTTTGTCTGTTTGATCGTCTTTGCGTCCATATGATCATCGATAACATTCCAACCAATACAGCTAGCTTGATCTATAAACTTTTCTTAACTGAACAGCTATCGATATATAGCCTTATCAGATAATACGTTTATTGTTTGAACTCAAACGATGTGTTCCTAATGAATATACTCAAAAGTCAAAATGTTTGTCCGTTTGATCGTATTTGCGTCCGTATAATCATCGATAACTTTCCAACCATACAGCTAGCAAAGCCTTACTTGATCTATAGGCTTATCTTATATATACGCTGGAATACGTTAACGGTTTGCACTCTAACAATATGTTCTTAATTGGTGTAACTACTTAAAAGTCAACATGTTTGTCCGTTTGATCATCTTTGCGTCCGTATGATCATCGATAACTTTTCAACCACACCAGCTAGCGATATATAGACTTGTCGTATGCATATGCTATAATACGTTAACTGAACAGGTAGCGATATATAGACTTATCAGTTGATACGTTTATTGTTTGAACTCAAACGATGTGTTCCTAATGGATATACTCAAAAGTCAAAGTGTTTGTCCGTTTGACCGGTTGATCTCATCGATAACTTTTCAACCATAATAGCTAGCGAAGCCAAACTTAGACTTATCTTATGTACACGCAGACCCAGTCTATTCAAGATCTTATATTGACGTAATTATATCAATAGCTTTTATTGGGTCGATCGGTGGAAAACTCGCTCTTATTACAATATATAACTTTTAACTTGTAAAAATATCGTAGTGAAGCTTTTTAGCGATTTTAAAATGTTTATGAAAGTCGATGAACTATAGGATCTTATTTAATTTGCAATTTAATTTATTCTGTTAATTTCCTAAAACCTTATCGCAAGCCCTAACACCTTGTCGTTGTTTTGTGTGTGTTTCCCTACAAAATTATAATCTTTACTAATCCGCAGAACTTGTCTATTCACAGGACTATAAATACACCTCGAGCAGCATGACCAGCAATATTTCGCACAATATTCAGAGCAGCAGTCATCATGAGACCAAATATCAGTCGACGGCCACGCCCTCAGCAGCTGTAGCGCCCAGTCCAGTGCCGGCGCAACGCAAAACGCCCGCCGCCGAATTCAGTGACTATAGCAGCGAGGTGGACGAGCGTTTCCGTTCCGTATCGCGAGCTAATGAATCAGATACTGATATCAAGGGTTATCGTGTGGTATTCCCACCCACGCCAACACCGCGCACCAACGTAGCTAATGGCCACAAATCGCCAGTGGTTGTAGTTACGCCATCACCTATGGAGTTTGAGCCTACGCCGCCCGAGCCAATGGGATTCGCACGTCCCAAGTTCGAACCGATTGGCAAGGAGATACGCCATGAGATTAAGACGGAGAGCAGCAGCAGCCGGCAGGAGCAGAGCAAACAATTCAAGACAATGCATCAGCAACAGCAACAACAGCCAGTCTACAAACCGAAACCTGTGGCGGCCAAATTCATAGCGGCTACACAGCAGCAGCAACAACAACAGCCACAGCCTGGCACTCGTCCGACCATGTATTATAATGCGGTTGCAGGAGTACCTCTCCACACGGCCAAGGTGGCCACCGAAACGAAGAATGTCATGCAGATGAAGGAGTCCACAGAGACATCACAACGTGTAGTCAACATGCAACAGACCAAGCGGGTCATACATTTTGACAATCAGCAGCACGAGGAGCACAGCAACAGCTATCAGCTACAGAATCTGGAGCCCTTCTCCTACAGTCCGGGTCACAGTCGCACTCCGTCACGCCAGTCTCACTTGCCACCGCCCACAACGCCCACAAAATTCATACCCGGCGAGTTCCGTGAGAGCGACTACGAAAGCGAGGTCGAGGGTGCACGCATTCAGCCCCTATGGTCGCCCTATGGCGATGGTCTGACCAAGGGTTATCGTCGCGTAGCGGCTCCACAACCGGGACGTTCATGTAGTCTACCTCGCACCTATGAGCGCGTGCTCTCGCCCATGGAGTTCGATCATGGTCCCGAAATGCCCAGCAAAATTCACGTAGATGTGAATACGTTGCGCAAGGAACAGCGTGGGGGCAGCACAGTGACCACACAGAGTCGCACACAGTCTCTGAATCGGAACAGCACCATGAGGCAACAACACTACAGCAGTCTGCAGGAGTCCACCGATCAGACGGACACACAGATACGGGGAGGCACGCTCCCACGATACGGTTACAGTCACTTGCAACAGCAAGCCGAGGGTCAGGCCAAGCGTCTGGGGTCGACTTTCCTGCAGAAATCGCATCAATTCATCGATGACATCAGTCGGGATGTACACAGCCGGGGCAGCAATGTTGCCACAAATGGTCAGCGACCCGGGTTCAGGCGAGCACCCAGCGAGGGTAGCAACCAGCCACAGGCCTACAGAGACGAATCTCGCGTCTCCCAATATGGTAAGTGCATGCTTGCATTGCTTCAACTAGTAATACTGTTCCAGAAACGTTTTATATTTGTGCGATGTCCAGAAATTGCCATTGAGATCGGCCCAATACGAGCTTTCGAATGTGGGTGAAATTGAATTTATAAAAGTTAATTCAAGTGCTCTCGGGAAATAAATTTTACTTCAGAAATTGCCTCGATTTCGGTAACCCAAACAGGTCTCTATTATATACAATTTCGACTCGCAAAAGAACCAATGATTTTTGGACTCGCATAAATGTAATACCCAATTGCTCGAGCGTTTAAAATATTGATTCGATCCTAATTGGTATTGAAAACTCATTTGAGATTAAACATTTTAGATTGAAAATTTGAAAATTTGAAAATTTCTTGACTGAAAAAGTTATTGTTTCATCTGTATTTGTAAACCCCATTCTTAAACTAACACATTGAAAGAAAAAAAAACCAAAACATTTTGTACATTTTGTATGCTAATTTAAGTACTCGGTCTTCAATAATTCCCTTTCCCAACGTAAACGTAAATTAGGCACAAAATGCGTCGATCCCAATACCGGTTTAATCTATTTCAAATATGACTTTGGCTACGAATTTGGCATACTCTTTCCGGGTGAGGGTCACAAGTTCGTGAGCAGTCAATGGAACAGCAAAGCTGGCAGCGGCCCCTCTGGCCTTGTAACCAATGGCCGTCATTCGCCCTATCCCCTCAAACTGGGCGGAGCAGGCAATGAGTTGATCATACCAGTCCAGCATGAACGTACTGGTGTCCGGTCGATGCCTCCGCCAAGGGCCACCACAGCCAGCAGCGGCTACAGCTCCGACAATGAGGCGCAACGCCGCACCTACGGCACGTTGCCCAGTCGCCTAAATCCGGCGACAACGCGCTACAACAAACGCTACAGCCTGCCCACCACACACAGTCTTGACATCCATCTGGATCGTCTGCATGCGCAGGCACCCCGACTGCCCGATCAGCTGGTGCGCACAGGTAGGGGCAGCCATTGGCAAGGGGCAAGCACGGCCCCAATTCGGGCCATCGATGTTGTGATTTAGCTTAGGCGTCCTTAATAATGTTCATATCACAATATAAATCTATATAGTTGTTGTTATTGTGTTAACTATAAACTGAGCTTGGAATGTCGCGTCTTTAGCAGTGAAAATTGGAAGCAGAGCACTATATGGAAAATCTTAGCGTACCTTACCTCACCCCAAATAGCTAGCCCACCTAATAATATCAATTGCATGATGCCATTAACATATAAAAAAGGACGTTGGCTGCGCCTTTTTTAAAGAATTAAAAACATAAGGAAATGTCGTTCGGAATTGTAAAAAAAATTGTAAACATTTTAATTAATTGTGGAACTCTCTCTCTCTCTGAACTTATTTCTGAGATATGTTACTAATATTTGTAGACCAGAATTTTTAAATATTGAAACTCTCTCTCTGAACTTATTTCTGAGATATGTTGCTAATATTTGTGGACAAAAATTTGGAAATATTGAAACTCTCTCTCTCTGAACTTATTTCTGAGATATGTTGCTAATATTTGTGGACCAGAATTTTGAAATATTCAATACTGAAAACAAAGCTTTATAAATCGAACCATTTGAAACTGAACGATATTTCATTAAAATCTTTTATAATTTGTTCCAAACGATTACCACTTTTTTGATCGGTCATTTCGCAGCAGCCTTTGCTGTTTTATGATAAATCTAAAGCTATGGTCAGACAGGCAAATATTTGCACACAAATTGTAAAAACAGAACGTGTTATTTATGATTGAAATCATGCAAATTTGTTGGCTGTGGGATCATAGCTGAAGGGAGTTAAAAGCTGTGAAAATCTTTTCTAAAAAATCGCTTGAAGTCTATTGATTGTTGTTGTGCCTATTGTTGTTTGTTTATTGCATGTCCTACTCACATACTGCTTGTGTTTTAAGTATTAATTGTGTTCCATCAAGTGTTAAAAAAAAAAAAATCATAATTGTGATGTCGTTTGTTGTTGCATTGTTGTGTATGTGTTTAATTGCTATTGTTTGTCATGTCCACCATCACAAATGAAGTGAGTGTTAATCGCATTTAAGAGGACGCTTTAAACGTGCGCCACAGTTCTAATCCATTCCCGTAACTCCAATGCAGTGCCGGAGTTGCCCAACACGGAGCCAGTCAATGCGCATTTGAACCGCGATGAGCAAGCACAAAAGCCGCCATTATTTATAACGGTAAGCGGAGGTCATTAAACTGGCTAAACCATTCATAATGACTAAACGTTATGAACCATCAAACCAACCCAACCCAACCCAACCCAACCCATCCCAACCCGTCCTATTCACAGCCATTGAAGGATATTGCTGTGGGCGTGGGCGGGACCGCCCGTTTCGAGTGCATTGTCCAGGCATATCCGCAGCCGCAGGTCAATTGGACGCACAACGGTGGGCACTTGGAGCACGGAAACCGGCATGTCATTGAGTATCGTAACGGTGTGTGCCGCTTGACGTTACCCCAGGCCTATCCTGGTAAGTTCTGGCACCCCCCACTACCCCCACTCTTTTATAGTACGTTGTGCCCATTAATCGCTGCCATATTATTCTTTCATTCCCGGCAGACGACTCCGGCACTTATGTGTGCTCGGCCATGAATGGACTTGGGGCGGCCAGCACCAGCGGAAATTTGAACGTTTCGAGCACGAATCGTGGATTTAGATATTAAGATAATAATAAATAATTATGCTATTTATTTATTACGTATTTATGATGATCACTTATTCAAGCCAAAGTTCAGCTTTTGTGTGTGTCTAATTGTGTTGCTATCTTTATTTTTCTTTGATTTTGGTTTTGATTTTGTGTTATTGTTGCTAATCAAGTGTGAACATACATCAAAACTACATACTACATGCATATGGAAAAAAAGAAAATATAGTATTAAAAGTGTTTTTGTCGAAAATTGCAATAAATCACATGAAAACGATGCGAAAAATGTGTTTGATTTAAGAATTTTAATGGGCATATTGTCTGAATATTAACCCGAATTCATTAAATTCCTTTATAATGTTCAAAAAATTCTTTTTCGAATTTTAACGGCAAAGAGCTTTTCTTTTTTGTTTTGTGGCGCTCTCTATGATGAAAAACCCACCCGTTAATTTCGAAAAAGCTATTTCCGTATGCTCGAAAGCTTTTCGAACTGATTTTGAAAATAGATGGCGACAGCAGTGCGATCGTCAGCGATCTCTGCAACTATTTTTGAACATCTGCAGCGCACAGCAATAAATGATTCAGAAAATGGAGGTTCAAATATGATACAAAAAATATAATTCGTATAATTACTTATGATCATTTGGTGATGAAAGCTATTGACTTATTTCTGATATTTAAAAATGGAGGTTCAAATATGATACAAAAAATATAATTAATTATAATTCGTATAATTACTTATGATCATTTGATGATCAAAGCTATTGACTTATTTCTGATATTTAATTTTGATCTGTAACATATGATAAGAGACAGGATCTTATTCTTTGCGTTCGTATAAGCAGAACATATGTATAATTAAGAAAACATGAATAATTGTTATTATCTCTATAGCTGCCATAGAGAAGATAGACAACACATATTTTCATATCGTCATAGAATACGCCAGGGTCCTGTCTAACTATAGTTGTCAACATGTTTTTTATAAACCGACAAAACCGACCTTGATAAATACCTGTGCCTCCTACGCTTTAGTTAAATATACATATATACACATACCTTAATTTTCAACATGGCTGGCTGGCATTTTAATAAATCAGACGCCAAGGTAAACTGTTGTGTTATAGTTTATTTAGTTTAGTCTGCATACATATACAAATGTATTTTGTTTATTTCAAATAAATCTTTAGGTTAACAAACAAACTGATTTTTATACGCTTCACCCTACAGGAAAGAGCACTATGTTTTTATCATGAATATTGGTTATACACAGAAGATATGGCGATCGAAAACATTAGGATTAGAGTAAAGGGATGTATAGATGCAACAATTATAAGGGGCCAGCTCGTTACATAACAAACATTTTATTATACGCTAGAATCTATCTATCGGATAGCATTTTGTAGTATAAAGCAATAAAAGCTTTTATAATCTGATAAAACAGATTACCCAACTCTTTAAATCAATTTATCAATGATTATCAATACAACAAGCATGATATTTGATTTTTAAAATATATCTCTTGAGTTTCTCGTATATGGTGGATTTTTCTTGATTCTTTTGCGTTCAATAATTTAAAGGCACAGCATAAATCAAGTGGAAAATATTAAGGCCATCATCACATATGGGTCAATCGTAAACTATTTTTCAGGCCAGATGCTCTGCCAGCAAATCAAAGAAAAGTCCCCGGTATTTTAAAAACAACACGCTGTCGCGAATCAATACAGAACAATTTTCAAAATATTATTTCAAAATTTAAAAATTCAGGTTAAAGAATTGCCAAACAAACTTTTGGTTTTTCTTTTGTGTCTGTGTGTGGGCGATCTTTTCAGATTGACTGACTGACTGAATGACTGACTGACCGACTGACTCATTGGCTTGCGGCTCCCACTAGCTATGTGTGTTTCATAAACGATTCTTTCAGTTTTCAAAAAATGTTTATTTATCTATTTTCCTTTCGCATATTCTCTGCTAGTTTTGCTTTGAAATTTTCTGCTGAACAAGCGATGAAAACAAAAACAAAACTGCAAACACTTGCCAAGAATAAGAAATGAAACAAAAGCGCAATATTTGAAATATTTGGTGCAGAGCTGGCTGGCTGGCTGGCTGACAGACATAAACACTGGCCGTCGGGGCCTTCAAGGTGCGACGAGCGAGCCCAAAACTTGGCCCACCATGGCACGCGCTCTCTGATAATGTTCAAAAATCCTTGACACTGACCACAATTGCCGATGTTGGCGTTAAAATTGTGCACAGGCGGCCTTTTTTTAAACTTTTTCTTTTTTCACTTGCGCGTATTTTTAGTTTGCTGACCAAGCGGGTAATGAATTTTCTACTCACCTGCTGACATTATTGTTTTTTTTTCCTTTTGGATGACACACTTCTGTCGATTTTTCGGTTAAGTGCCTGCCAATTTGAATTTGTTGCTTACCTTAATGTGTTCGAGTCATTAGAGCATAAAAGTTGGATGCTATTCAAGAAATGTGAATCATTTCGCTTGCAATTATTCTTAAACTCGTATATATCGATGGCTATGGCTGCTTAGCACATCACATTAAAAATATAGTTACATGATAATTGAATTCGATTTGATTTTGCAGCCCACGAAACAGTATCAGAACAGCAAGCATATGGTCAGCCTCTTTCCACTTGGAAATGATTCATGAAATTGTACATTTCCTGCGCTGTGAAAAATTGTATGTTTTTGCATTAATTTTCATTAATTTAAAACATTTTTTTGTCAAATGTTCGCATGCTTCTGTTTTTGTGGTGTTCAAAAATATGTGGCCTTGCTTTCTTTTTTGTTTTTTGTTTCTTTTTTCATTTTTTTGGCACATGTGCAATTTCTCATCGTTTAATATATAAACACAAAATGGATAATATTTTGTTAAGGGCAATTGTTTAGCTAAAACCGTGTACTTGGAATTACGTCTTAAGCCCAAAAACATTTAGCAGCTTATGAAAATGATTTACGAAATTCCTTTAAATACGCGTACGAGTGCGAAGTATCGCAACAAATGTCCAAAATGGAACTTAGAATACTTATAATAGAGATACAAGTTTGAAAAAACATTTTTGTGTGATGAATATGCGAGTGATACAAACATTGAAATGCTGGTGGTTTTTTCTCAATTTCTCTAAATTAATTAGGCAATTCTCTAAAAATATCAAATGAACTCATCGCCTCTCGCTTATTTAGCATCACACACCAGTCACACAAGCTTTTCTTTGCTACTTTAATTTTCTTTCATACAATATACATAGATATACGTATATATTTTATTTTCTAGTCTCCGCTGTGCCACCACTTCAGAAAAGAAAACTTGTGGGAGGTGGCCATTGGCATGAAACACACTTCTGGTCCATTAAATGGCCTGCTATGAGCCAACTATATACCTATTTGTCTGATTTTTATTGTAATTTTAATGCCCTGCAGAAAGAAATTGTGAAATTTTAAATCCCAGCCATTATTATAATTATCAAAGAAACCTATTCCAAATTAAAGTTTTGGTGAAATCTCTATATAGTTAGGACTGTGGAAATTTTTAGAGAAGTAAACTGTGTGAAGAATTTCAAGGAAGGGTTCCGATAGTCAACACACCTATACTAAGGTGTATGTTTAAGACTTGTTCGGAATAAAATTAGCTTGCTTTTAGATCATTTGTACAAATACTTAAGATAGTAGAATAACTTTGTAAAACTCTAAAAAATGTATGAAAAAAAAAGAAGAAAAAAAACATTCCTCAGATGACGTATAATAAAGTACCATACACAAGGGAAGACTCAAGACAATGCACCGTTTTATTATAGCAAACGACATTAAAGATACTAGACACTACTTCCCAAAAAAGAGGTAGAAATGTGTGTGAAGACATATTAGATTTCGGCATATCATAGGCGGCAATGTAGTCAAAATCATCTTAATTTCTTTTGATCATATTGAAAATTCACACTATAGTATTTGTGTTTAGGGATGAAGATGAGAGAGATGTGTTTTCTTCAAGAGTATTAGAATAGGCATACTTGTAGATAACTGAGTGTACCTTTACGAATGATTCAATGATGATAGTTGAGAATCTGTAACATATAATAAAAATTTGGCTCTATCTAAGATATGTTTTGAAGAGTTTCCACACTTGCCGAACCAGACAATGAATGCTTAATTATATTATTTAATTTAATTTAATTATTCTTATCATCTTTTGACTTTCCCATTATCTTAATAAGGAAGAGTAATAACTTCACATTTATTTTATACAAGTATAATAAAAGATTATTTAGAAGCTATTGATAATTTAAAATATCTAAACAATCAATGATCAATATCAGCTTGGAGAAACCATACATCAAAGAGCTAAGAATCGAAGCGACTATCGATTTGATTGATCGATTTTCGTCAAAGAAATTAATGTAGTCTGCAGTATTTGCTAGAAAAACAAAAGTTATGCATGCACTCCCGATATTAATGAAGAAAATACTACTTAGGAAAATTATATTTTTGGCAAACTACGCCTGAGGCGTATTATATGCAATATTTTGTATTCATATGATCGTTAAAGTTTTGCCTACGACAAAGAGAAGACGACCACATGCCTCGTATAAATAATAAACTATTTCCGCTTCAAGTTTTGTCAACAGGCGTCAAAGGCATAAGCCAGCTATATAGATACTGCTAGGGTCATGAATACTCGCCAACAAAATATGTATTTGCGATGTGGATTATGGCGAACGAAAATATGATATTTAAATCAGTACTATTGGGCATCGTAAAATTGTTTTCAAGCATTCCTCCGGCTACTGCAATAAAGCAACACCCGAAAATCGGCGCAAAACGAACAGTTCTGGCAAGAAACGCTGTGAAATATTTGCGTCAGTTGCGGATTGCAAAAGTGGACGTAAATAAGCTACTTAATATTGCTAAAATATTTCCGCACTTCAATTAACATTTTTCGAATGCTTAATTTAAGTTATCAAGGCGCAGTTCGCAAGGGTGTTTCTTCTCAAAGCAAAAATATTTTTGGTTTAAAAATTAGTTTATCATATTGAATTGAAGATATTGTTATAAAGCTTAAATATAAATTACGTTCCATTGCTTCAAACTTTCTCTGATACAAATAAAGTATAAACCTAATTGTGGTTTTTCAAATTTCACAAAAAATAGCACGATAAAGCACAAAATTCCGACCAACATAGAATATAAGCAATGTTTGAAAAATCGGGGGTGTTAGTTAGATCCGAAGATCCTTTGAACATTTTGTGCCCAGGTGTTTGTAATAC